TCGGACGCTTAACCGACTGCGCCACCCAGGCGCCCCAACCATCCATCCATAATTCTGAGTGCTTCTCTGCGTGCAGGTCTTGTACTGGGTGCCTGGGACTTGGGAATAATTGGAAATAGCATTTACCTCCGAGAGCTCAGTTTAGTAAAGGCTATAAATAGGCAGGTCCTGGAAAAAAATGAGAGGCTTAGGGCCAAACCAGGAGACTTTGCATGGAGTAGTCCAAGATTGTCTGTCACCCTCCCAAGGATAGAAGACAGGACGCCTCTGTCTTCCCACACTGTGTCTCCCAACACTAAGCTCAGGGCCTGGTTCAAAGAAGATGCTCAATATTTGTCAAAGGAATTAGGTATGAAGCCGGTGGCTTGGCTTGGGAATTCTGGTATGGTCAAAAGCCTGAGGGGTTGGTTAGTGGAAGGGGAGAATGCTTTTCTGAAAGGGTGATGGAATTAGTAATTAGGGAATGGGTTTAGGAGATGATTACAGTAGGAGGGAGGCAGCAGAATTAGGCAGTCTTCATTAGGGATGAAGGGCAGAAAAGGGTGAAGAGAATGAGTTAGTGGCACCCAACCTGGGCTTGCATTCCAGCTCTCTCACTTATTGGCTCCATGACTTCTGGCAAGCCAAAGTCTGTGAGCCTCAGTTTCCTCCTCTGCCAAAGGAGTAGTAATCCCTGCCTAATAATCATAAGGATTAAACAGGTGACTTTTCTAGGCAAGGGCTCTGTAAAGATTCTTTCTCTGTAATTCAGAGGTCAGTAGATTGGGGTTAAGGATTAGTGTGACACTCTTCCCATCAAGAGCTGGAAAGGAGGTTGGAGGTGTCAGAGTCCAGCACGGGACTGGAGGACAAAAAGGCATGGAAGGGCAGCAAGTCAGTACAGTCTGGTCATCGAGAGGGTGAGGAGAGCCAAAAGTTGTGTGCGGGTTAACAGGCATTGGGCTTATCACCATGCCAGATTCATGGACCTAGCTGAAGTGATCGTGGTCATCGGCGGTTGTGACCGCAAGGGGCTCCTGAAGCTGCCCTTCACTGATGCCTACCATCCAGAGAGCCGGCGCTGGACCCCACTGCCCAGCCTCCCAGGATACATGCGCTCAGAGTTCGCCGCCTGTGCTCTGCGCAATGACATCTATGTTTCCGGTGAGGGCAGGTCCGCAGGGGGAGCCCCACAGGATTGGCTCTTTGCCTCTCTCGTGCAGGTCCCTTGTTTTAATCTTCAGTTGTGAAATGGGGGTGGGATATTCTTGATGATCTGTGGTTATTGGCTGAAGTGGCATGTAGTCCTGCAGAGCCCATCACTAGTGTGATTCCGACCTTTATTCACCAAAGTCCACTTCAGTTTGTAGTACTATTAATCACTTCTATTTAGCAGACCACATGCAGGATATTATGCTGGGCAGCTTACATTACTCAATTTCCCCTCTAGCCCCATTTCACAGAGAGGTTAAGAATTTTCCCATTATCTCAAAAATGGCAAAGCTAGGAAGAACACAGATTGTTTTGATACCAATGGATTGTGCCCTGAGAGTCAGGCCCCAGAGACGTAAATAAAATAGTCCCTGCCTCCCCAGGGGTGCCCTGGAGAGGCACTGAAGACAGAGACACTTCACTTTACCACCAGACTTTTCAGCTGGATCTTGAAAATCTGGAGGGAACAGCATAGGACAGGAATGTGCAGAAAGGAACCCCAGGTACTCAGGTCTCCAAAGTGCAGATTGAGTGCATCTGGGAGAAGAAGGGAAGTATTGTGGATGAGGCAGGAAAGGGAGTCGAGTCAGGTCAGGGAAGCTTTGATTCCAGGTCTAGGCAGACAGCACTGTGGTAGGGAGCTATGGGTGTCTAGGAAGGATAAGGAGAAGAATGAACCAGAAAGGCCTCAGGGACAATCCAGGCCACACTTTATTAGTGGATAACTTCTCTAAGGCTCCTGATGGCCTGTGAGCAACCACATGTTGCTGGGCCTCTGCTGGGAATACACAGAAGCAAGAGCTATAAAACAGAGTTGGGGCTTGAGTCATGGGCTCAGGCTAAGGGATGCAGTCAGGGTTGTCCCTGGGAAGGGTGCTCCTGACAGGTGAGTCCCTGGTCAGTAACCCCGGGAGGAACGGGGAAGGAGAGTCCACGGCCTGCATTCCAGGGCCTGGCCTCATAGGCCATACCAGTGCCCAGCTTCAGGGACTAGAAGTTCTGGATCTGGTCACTGATCTGGAGTGAAAGGCCATATGTGGTCTTCAGCGGTGCATTCTTGGTTTCTAAGCTGCATCTGAGTTTCCTATCTCTAAACTGGGTACAGTAACACTAACACCTCATGGAGGGATAACAGACATGAAATTGTGAAGGTAAAGGCAGAAATGAGGCAGGGTTCCTAGGTCACTCTCTGCCTTTACCCATTCCAGAGCAGGTGGCTCTGCTTTCCCCTTGCCCCCATCACCTTCCTGATGCTTGTCTTGGGCACGCTTTGCACTCTTATATCTAGTTGAGTTCTAAGTGCCCCCCACTTTGCTTCCCTGAGCACAGAGCCTGGCATACCACCATAGGGCACCCAGTGAAGATCAGCTTCTTCTCCCTGAGTCTTTCAGGCCTCTCTCCTCAAAACTCCTGCCCCTTGTCCTAACTCACACCTTCCCACCATTCAATCAAAGCACACTGTCCAGGTGACAGGCCTAGAGCCTCACACCAGCACAGTGGGGGGAGTCTTTCCTGCTTAACACTTCCTTTGCATCTGGGGGCCCTTATTTCTGGGTCTTGAGGGGTGCCGGGGTTAGCAAGAGGGCCTGGGGTCAACAGCTGCTTCTCTTTCCCTAGGAGGCCACATCAACAGCCATGACGTTTGGATGTTTAGCTCCCCTCTGCACACCTGGATCAAGGTGGCCTCGCTGCTCAAGGGCAGGTGGAGGCATAAGATGGCAGTCATGCAGGGGCAGGTAAGCACACCCAGCAGCTGCTGCCCTGTGAACCAAGGTACAGATCAATGGACTTACTGGGGGAAGGCCCTCTAAGACACTGTCTTTGAAAGAAGAGATCTTAGGCACCAAAAAGCAAAGCTACTTGCCTGAAGTTAAAAATAATGCTAGTGCTAATACCAATCACCATAATAGTACAGTCTAGCAGTCAGGGGTCAAAGGTGTGGGTTCTGGGCCAAACAGACTAGTTTGAATTTTGACTCTGCCACTTAAAAAAAAAAAAAAAAAAATTTGCTCATTATCTCTATAAACTACATCCCGAACTCAGAAAACAGAAGTACTTCTTAGGACCACTGAAGTGAGCTGATAAACTCTCAATAAATTACTAGCTATTATTATTAAGCATCAGCCTGGTGCCAGATATTTTACAGACAGATTTAATACCCACCCCAGAGACCGATATCATTATCCCCAGTTAACAGAGGAAACATGTTCAGGGAGGTTTGGTAAGTGGATGGAGGCCACCCAGGCACTGGCAGTGCCGAGATGCACGTGGTCTAGGTCTGGAGAAAGTTTCTCTGCACAGAGTGGAGCCCGTGGGGCTGGCACACACATGGCTCTGACTCCCGCTGGAAGTCGCCGCCACACCTCATCCTTGCCTGTCCTCACCCGCAGCTGTTCGCGGTGGGCGGCTTTGATGGCCTTCGGCGCCTGCGCAGCGTAGAACGCTATGACCCCTTCTCCAACACCTGGGCGGCAGCAACACCTCTCCCAGAGGCTGTGAGCTCAGCTGCAGTGGTGGCCTGTGCCGGCAGGATCTACGTGATCGGGGGCGCTGGGCAGGACGGTGTCAGCATCAACAAGGTGGGCACAGACAGGGCATTAGAGGTCTACTGTGTGCCAGGCGCAGAACTGGCACCTTCATGTCCTCGTCCATTTTCTCACTCTCAACAACCCTGAAAATGACCTCCTGGTTGCAGGCAAGGAAGTGAGTTCAGAGAGATAGATGACCCCAGGGTCACACGGTGGGTCTGACGTGAATATTTTACCTGGTGCCATAGGGGTTTCAAATACATTTTAAAAATTAAGTGAGGGCAAGGATGGGATTACTTAAAATGTTTTTCCTCCATTTAAACCACCACCACCACGCAGTACTGAAAATTTAGAAAACAGAAACAGAAAAATATCACCCATGACCCCACCACCAAAGGATAACTACTATTAATATTTTGGTACATTGCCTTCCAAGCTTCTTCTGAACCTTTTGTGTTTAAGTTTTGTGTTTACCCTTAGTAAAATTTTGCATTCTTTTTATTCTCATCTAAATGTAAGCAACTTTCCACATGCTTACAAACTCTTCACAGCCATCATTTCAATAGTTCTCTGGGTGGGTGAACCATAGTCTATCAACCAAATTTTCAGTTGTTGAACATTTAAGCTGTGAATAAAAATTATTCTTGATAGTAAATTCCTCCCTCTCCTGATGGCCTCACAAGTCTGTGGTCCTGGGACCCGAATCTTTCAAAAACTAGGATCCCTCACCCCTCCTTATTCCGACCCCATTCCCCCCCGCCACACACACACCTTCCTGGGGCTGGTTGGGGGAACTGCCCTTTAATACCCTTTTGTGCAGCACTGATGTATTATAGGCCATTCCAGGGGTCTCCAAGGAAACAACTGAAGAAACAGAGTAAGGGTGAACACAGAGGTAGGATAAGCCCTCAGAAATTGTGGAAGGTGTTGTAAACACTGGTGGGGCTGGGAAGCCTGTGGGTAGCTGTAGGAATGGGGACTACAAGACAGCCCAGCTGGAATCTTGTCATGAGCTCAGAGCACCAAGAGGAGGGAAGAGGGTTGACAACGTATGCAACAAGAAATGCATCTCTATTTGGGGGGCCTGCTCTCTGAGACCTTCTCTAGCACTAATGAAGATGGTACTTCCATCTTCTGGGACACAGACCTTTCCCAGACCTTGAAGGATGAGGAGGCTTTGGACAAAGGGAGGAGTCCAGAGCTGGGGCTAGAATATGGAACCAGACTCAGCACACTTGAGGGCAGGGATAGGGGGTCTCCTCTATTCTTGCAGATGCTAGCTCAGGCCTGGTGGACACAGGTAAATGTGTCAAATGAGTCCCCCCAGCCGGAGAGATGGGAGGATGTGGGTAGCAGGGCAGTTGGGGGGCGAAGCTTCACCACAGCCCCTCCTCCTGCCCCTCAGGTGCAGTGCTTTGACCCTGAGGAGGACCGGTGGAGCCTGCGATCACCAGCGCCCTTCTCACAGTGCTGTCTCGAGGCTGTCTCCCTTGAGGGCACCATCTATGTGGTTGGAGGCCTCATGAGCAAAATCTTCACTTATGACCCTGGCACAGATGTCTGGGGGGAGGCAGCTGTCCTCCCCAGCCCTGTGGTAAGTACATGCTCCTGGGCACAGCCTTGGTACTGGTGGCAATCAGGAGAACAAGGTGCCATGTCTAAGGATGTGAATCTCAGAGTTTGGGAGTCTTATCTCTGACTCCATGCTAGGCAGTTATATATAATTCCTTAGCTTTGTCCTCGTTATGATAATCAGCCACGTGTTCCACAGATGAGGAGACCAGCCTTAGAGAGGTTGAGGCCTCATCCAAGGCCACCAGTCAGGCCATATTAAGGCAGAGCATGGAACCTTAGTCCCAAGTGCTTTAGCCTTGAATGGGGGTCTTGGTCTAAATGACTCTGCAGTCTCTTCTGTTCTGAAGGCCACCAGCTGGTAGCCTATTGTGGGGAGATCAGGGTGAAAGGACTTGGTAAGTTCCCCTGCCCTAGTAATATTAGAGGAGGGAGGTCCAGGCCCTAGATGTTCTGGCCCCTGCATTCCTTGTCTCCCCCATATCCTGTCCCCTTCCCTGAAACTCCAAAGATACTACATAGGGGTGTGGTTGGATTGCTGGTCCCTACCAGTTCTGACCTTCAGTGCTTCTAAAAGCCTGAGATTTCTGGCCTGAGTCTGAGATCCTAGAGCGGTCGTGGTGGTTGTGATTGTTATCACTGTTACTGAAGTTCTTACTGTCTTCCTGGAACTATGTAAAATGTTTTAATTGCTTAACCCCATTAACTGTTAAGGCAACCCTTAGTAAGGGTCAAGCCAGAGCTTGAACTCCGATTCATCCAGTCCCTGCCTTCCTGCCGTCTAGACTGCCTGCTCATATTCTGTGGATCGGGGTTTTACTGTCTGGCCTGGCCAGCTAGGGACAGAGGGAGCTCCAGGCTGGACCCCATAGCTGATTATCTTTCTGTTTGTCCACCCAGGAGAGCTGTGGCTTGACTGCGTGTGATGGGAAGGTCCACATCCTTGGTGGGCGGGACGATCTTGGGGAGAGCACCGACAAGGTCTTCACCTTTGATCCCAGCAGTGGGCAGGTGGAGGCCCAGCCATCCCTACAGCGCTGTACCAGCTCCCATGGTTGCATCACCATCATTCAGAGCCTGAGCAGGTGACACAGACTTGAACAGCCTGAGCCAGGAAACAGAGAAAGGAAAGAGAACTTGGGTTCACCACTGCTCCCCTCATGGCTCCTCCATGTAAATAGCCCCTTAACTTATTGCTGCCCTCCCTTCTCATAGAAATAAAACCTTCAAAGGTTGGGTCTGTGTTCCAGCTCAAGCCTGCTTTGCCTGGAGAAGTAATGCCCAACATCTACTCCCTGATTTGACTCTTTACAAAGCACCTTCATATATCCACCTTCATGATGGCAGTATGGACATATTAAAAAAATTATGAAACATTTCATGCCTAAAAAGAATATATTTTTATACAGCTTAATAATTATAATAAAATAAATATCCATGTTTCCACCATCTAGCTTAAGAAACAGATCTTTACAAATGCCTTTGTAGGCACCTCCATTCCTAAACCCATTCCTTCCCACATCTATCCCAAAGGTAATCACTGTCTTTACATTTGAGATTATTGGCATTTTTGAAACTTTTAATAAGCTAGTTATTAAAATTTGTATTTTACAGAGAAGGAACTACATTAAAAAGATGAGAATCACCCAAGATCATATACTTAGTAAGTGGCGGAGTCCATGACTCAAGATTTCATGAAGCTTCAGGAATCCATGAAGCAGTTCTGGTCAGGATGGTTCTCTCTTTCTAAACTACCTTCTCCAATTCAAACACTTAGCAATGACAGATAAATGCCAGACAACTAAAAAGACAGAGGCTTAATTATTGGTGGGAATGCAAACTGGTGCAGCTATTCTGGAAAACATTGTGGAAGGTCTTCAAAAAATTAAAAATAGAATTACCCTAAGACCCAGCAGTAGCACTGCTAGGAATTTATCCAAAGGATACAGGAATGCTGATTCGTAGGGGCACATGTACCCTAATGTTTAATAGCGCTATCAACAATAGCCAAATTACAGAAAAAGCCCAAATGTCCACCAACTGATGAATAGATAAAGAAGATGTATATATATACGGTGGAATACTACCATTTGCAACAATGTGGATGGAACTGGACGGTATTATGCTAAATGAAATCAGTCAGAGAAAGACAGATATCATGATTTCACTCACATGTGGAATTTGAGAAACTTAACAGATGATTATAGGGGAAGGGAAGGAAAAATAAGATAAAAAAGAGAGGGAGGCAAACCATAAGAGACTCTTAAATACAGAGAACAAACAGGGTTGATGGGGGTGGGGGGTTGGGAAAATGGGTGATGGGCACTGAGGAGGGTACTTGTTGGGATGAGCACTGGGTGTTGTATGTAAGTGATGAATCATGGGAATCTACTCCTGAAGCCAAGATTACACTGTATGTTAGCTAACTTGACAATAAATAAACAAGTAAACAAATAAATGTAAAATAAAATAAAGACAGAGGCTTAGGCTTATAAGTAAGTAAACATGTCTGAGGATCAGAAACAGAATTATAAAACCATGAGGAAGGGAGAAGCTTCAGCTTTAGGGTTCAGACTCTGGGATAAAGCTCTAAAAAGGATAACAAATAAGGCTGTTAGATGCTAGGGCCAAGGTGGGGTGCCCCAACTCACAAACGCAGCAGAAACAGAACAAAAACCATCATGGGACCCTGAGCAGCTCTGAGGCCAATCTCACAGCAAACCGCAGGCTCAGGGTGGCAGGCACCAGAGCCCCAGCCTGAGAACCCAGCCAGCCCAGCTCCACACCTGGACTTCCGAGTTCCCCAATGTCAACAGAGGGCACAAGCTCCTCGTACCATCATAAGCACCTGGGTGGCCTATGGGCAGCAAAACAAAACTGCTGGAGGGGGAAGGATGAGCTCAGAGCACAGACAGGGGACAAAAGATGTCACATATTCTGTGAGGCAGAGACCCAGTGGTTCTGGTCCTATGCCTGTGTTTCTGAGGCCCAGAGGAGCTGGCCAGGCCCCATCTGGGGCTCCCTCTCTTGTGCACTTAGATTGCCTTTTGAAGAGCTATCATCTGCTCTTTGCATCCCTTCCGGCACAGGGCCAGCCCCATTCCCCTCCCCATCTTCCAAAGCCCCAGGGCCCTATCTGTGGGGTCTCTCCAGCTGGGACTGGCCCATCACAAAGCCCTGGGTTCCAACTGAGCTGCTACCCTCTGATTATCCCAGATTAGGAAGCCTGTGACCATCTGGACACAGCTGATAATGGCAGAGGGGAGGGGAGAAGAATGGAGGCCCAGCCTCTCAGAGCCTGCTGGTCCCTACCCCACAGATAATACCCAGAACAAAGCAAAAAAGGTGCTGTACTGCTTGCCCACCCAGGCAAAAGTCTGAGTGGAAAAGGTAAGATCTTGACATGGGCACCTCACCTGGGCTGGACAGTTCCTGTATGCCAAGCAGACTGCCCCATTTCCCCAACAATGACCCTCCATGCCCCCAGTGCTCTCCTGTGTAAGCGCAATGCCCTTTCCTGCCCTCTCTGCCTGGGCAGATCTGATCCCCTCCATTCCAGAGCTGATCACTCTCCTTATGCCCCTTCCTTATCGGCCCCTCTTTTTTATCACCAGGCATATAGCCAGGCCTATATATGTGACATCTCTAGTCTCCCTTGACATACCCACAGAATGCTTCTTGAGGCAGGAAAAGTGTCAGCTTTACCTCTGTATCCCCCAATGCTTGGAACAAGACCTTCCACTCAGTACACTATACAAAAGTTTCCTGGATTTCTATATCATAACACCTATGAGGTAGTACTATTTCCTCCCTTACCAATCAGGAAAGAGAGACTCAGAGTTATGAAGTGATTTATCTATTAATGTCACTGGCCTGGTGAGTGGTGACAGAGGCAGGATTCCACCCTGGGTCCAGCCATCTACAAAGCGTGCTCTCTCCATGCAGCCTTGCCCAGGCTCTGCTAAAACAGTGTTGAGTGTAGCACAGGAGTTGCTTAGAAGTGGAAGATACAATAGTCCCCCCCTTATCTGTGGGGGGGATACATCCCAAGTTCCCCAGCAGATGCCTAAAACCACAGTTGGTACCAAACTCTATGTATGCTATGTTTTTCCTATACATACATACCTATGATAAAGTTTAATTTATAAATTAGGCACAAGTAATAGATTTAAAATTAACTAATAAAGTATAAGATTATAATACACTATAACAAAAGTTGTGTGAATGTAGGCTCTTTTTGTACTAACTTACCTGTCTTGTGATGATGTGAGATGATAAAATGCCTACAGGATGAGATGAAGTGAAGTGAATGACACAGACATTATGATGCAGCATTAGGCTACTATCGACCTAAATCAGAAGGAGAATCTGCTTCCAGAATACAGCTGGTCTTGGGTAACTGAAATCGCAGAAAGTGAAACCATGGATAAGCGGGGGTGGGGGTGGCGGGGAACTATTGTGCATCATTTCCACCATGGGAAACCCCAGCCTGATGCGATACTGTCCCTGCCCTTAGGGGCTCCCAGTTGGATGAGGGGAGACATGGTTCATCTCCCTGGTGAGTCAGGCTCACCAGAATACAAGCAAAAGATTTTACACTAGTGTCCTAATTTTCTAGGACTGCAGGTTAGACCAAGACCATATACAGAGGGCCTCCCTGGCTCCTAGCCCACTGCTTTTTGTGCCCCGCCCCCCACCCCAGGCTGCCTGCTGAATGGGACTGTTACTGCCCAGGAGGAAGCCAGACCAGGAGTCCTGAGTATGACTCCTTAGGTAAATGGGTTTGCCATCCTCTCCCCAGCTGAGAACAGACTTAACTTTCTGTATACCATCAGAAGCCACTGGACCCAGATTTAGTTTTTGAGTTTCGTTTTTTAAAAGTTCTAACTATTTGTAAGACTTAGTATTTTATGACTGTTATTCTTTCTTAGTGGGCTTCCAAAGAACAATGAGAAATTTACTTACTTTTTGAATTTTTTTTTTTTTCAATGTTTATTTATTTTTGGGACACAGAGAGACAGAGCATGAACGGGGGAGGGGCAGAGAGAGAGGGAGACACAGAATCGGAAACATGCTCCAGGCTCTGAGCCATCAGCCCAGAGTCTGACGTGGGGCTCGAACTCACGGACCGCAAGATCGTGACCTGGCTGAAGTCGGACGCTTAACCGACTGCACCACCCAGGCGCCCCCTTACTTTTTAAAAACAATAAAACTCATTCTATCCTGCACTGACCATACAGATTCATTAGATTCATCTATAAATCTAAAATACATTATGAGATCATGACGAATTTATTTTTCCTGTATCTTGAAAAATTTTGCTGTTTAATCATCCTAAAAATTATTTCACATTACTCATCAGTTATTCCCAAACAAGACTACAATGATCAAATGGAAGAATGATGGTATTGCCTAGAAGGAAGACACAGTAGTGAATAAATCATTACTATTACATCATCTTTCAGTTTCCATACTAAATTTCCTATAGTGCATATCATCTTTCAAGAAGGTATAAAAGAAGTTGAGACATCAGCTGAGAACTCAGGATCTTTCATTCTCTGCCCATAATGACAGAATGCCCAAGAGAAGGAAACTAACAGAGGACATTTCACACTTAATACAGACAAACCAGAAAGTAAATGCAGGGACACAGCAGCACTCTCATTTCTGGGGATGCAAACTGGTCAGTCACATAAGCAAAACCCCGCGTAGATGAATTTTCTCAAACCCAAGAATTTCTCAAACCCAAGAGTGAACAACCTATTTCTAAAAACAGAAAGGATATATGGCATTTTAAGTCAATCAACAAGAAGGATTTCATCACACAGTATTTGACAAAGACCTGTACCATCCTATTTTGTACAATACTCATCTTTTATGATGCCTGTGCCCCAACATTTACTTGATATAGTTTGTTACAGTTCGTTAAGTGGAGACAGGCTGAGGCAGTTGTGTACTAAGGTGACTATAGGGAAACAGATGCTGTAGATGTTTTAAAAATTCATTAGATTGGTCCTTCAAATTGATCTTTATAAACCTAAAATCAAAAATGTTTTAAAATTATGGAGCAAAGAAAATGTCTTTTCAAC